AATTGCAATGTGATACAACATCAAATTCAATTCAGACCTCATTGTAAACACAATTAGTTTGTAATAACCGCAGTCAAATGATGTGTTTTGAGGGCATCATGAAAGCAACTGCTTTTAATGCAGATGGATCGACAGACAAGGCCCGATTCACGGTGCATTTTCACTTGAACGTTTCTTTTCTTCAGAATTCCAAGCATAAGGTGGAAATTTCGGCATTCCGTCGGAATTTCCACATGCGTGTTCCCACCTCATTCACACAGCTAATCAGTATCGGGGGCCGTATTGATGTCTGCATGTTCGCCTCACTGACGCGCCAGGAAAGCCAATCGTGCTCCCATCCTGATCCACCCATCCTTATCCTCCCAAGCGCACACCGCACCACGAACCATTTCGGAAGTTCAGACGGAGTATCCGTAGGAAGAAGCTCAGTACTGTGCAGGCAACTACTGATTTTTGTCAGGGCCAGGAATCAAACTTGGAGGTGAACGGGTTCGTACCACAGTGTACGAGCCACTGCGCCACCATTCGTCACATATACAGAGATCAAAGGCACTGTCTTGATAAAGTGGTGTAAATTACATTTTCAATAATGAAAACGAACAGTAATAGAGCCTACAAGGACGGCACGCCTGGATAACAGAAATGCCTAAATCGATAGTCAACATACTGACAGCCAACGGCTGTTTACCCCTTTGGTCAAAGCAAAAAAAAAACTCGAGAAAAAATGTACAGCTTTGTGCCAATTCACTAGTTCGCCATGCTGACCAATGCGGGTTCATAAAAGGGGAAGGGGTGTCAAAGGACAAGTTCTGTTATCACTCACGACTTGTTAGCTGCATCTGGGAATCAAACTCAAGCGTGCCAGCATCGAAGCACAGTTCTCTCCTCCTCGTCCCAACCATCCAAGTCCACCACCTGTGGCTTATGTCAGTACGAGTAGCCTGTAAGGTTACAGGGGGAACTGTTTGTGTGTGCGTGAATTGCGTGTCTGAACGTGTCTAAGATTATACTCGTGCGCGTGTGTATGCACATGTGCACGTGTGCATGGCTGTGGAGGTGTTTGTGTGTGTGACGTGTGAGATTTAGTGGTTCGTACACCGCACTATGAACCCCTACGACTTAGATTTCACTGCCGGCGATTTTCAGCGCATTCAGAACCTGCTCTGAACATCTCCTAGGCCGACTCAGTCCTCATTGAGTCGCTGGTGCAGTGCTGCTTACAATCCCCTCATATTTTTGAGGAATGGGTTGGTGGATATTCTGGAGATGTATAAAACCTCTCAACCCACTGGGTTGCTGGATAGCCCGGGGGAGGTAATTCTGCATACAAATGGATGCTTGAATGTATCTGTGCTTCGAGTGTTGCCCCATTTTATGCCTGTGTTGTATAGGGGTGCTCCGTGCTTCCTCCCACGTGCAAAAAACACTCTTCACAAATTTGTCTTAGGACTTAGCGTGCCTGTTCCAGAAACACTACCTCATTTGCATCATCTACATATTTTTCATCATCGGGAGAAGCAAAATAAATATCAACGCAACACTGTTAACAGTATCATCGTCTTCATTTATCACCTTCATCAGCTATGTCATCATCATCGTCGTCGTCATGTATACAAGCCATGATAACATGCTGGACTAGAGTGTGGAAGCCTAATTAGCATTAATTATCACGTTGGACAGAGGCCAAGTGACTAATGGACCTAGCACTGCACCTGCACACTAACTAGCCTCTGGAGATCATAGAAAAGCCCAAAAAATGCAAACAAAACCAACTATCACATAATTAAAAAAAACCCAGCTATCACGTTTAAACCTGTAAATATATAGGAAAACCTAAAGAGCTAACAATTATGCAACCATTATTGCCGAGGGTCAAACACTAACGGTACACGCACAGACACGGTCAGACTTGTGGATGTGCAGGTCGCTTTTCTGGATCCGGGTTCGCGTTGGAGTGACATTTCCAGGAACTAAGTTTTGTTACCGCCGTGATTTCCGAGATCAGGGGAGTTCCAACGCGTCACGCCTGCAATTGCGTTGGCTTCTCCCCTGTCCACCATTTATCTTCTGTTGTGAACATTTCGAAATGTAAACTTTGAATTTCACATCTTTATTTTGTAAATGTCAGTGATGAGTGCAACAAAGCTATGTTTGTATGTATGTTGAACTTCTTTCGCACCGTACATAGCCAACAGTGCTAAACAGAGGTGCAGTTGTGGTGTCTGTGTATTGTGTAAGCGTAAAAACAGATGGCACAAGAAGTTTATTTCACAATGTGACACTGTAAATGATCATAAAGGCAACTTGTCCGATAATTAAATCATTTCGATTTAAAGCTTTCGTGACTGCAGGGATTCATCTTCTTGGTTCTTTCGGTAAAGTCACATAGAATGGAAATAAAATAATAATAAAAAAAAATTATATGTCAGTCATGAGTGCATAATAATAAAAATAAAACATATTTTATTTCCATTCTTCGTGACTTTACCGAAAGAACCAAGAAAATTAAATCATTACTCTTATATAAATTAAAACAGAGGAAAACGTCATGTGGCTGCATTAGGGAGAAAATTAACAGCATTTGGTGGCTAATACATCTTGTGTATGCTATCAGTAGCACAACAAAGTATGATAAAATACCTTCATCATAACACTTCAACTACCTAGTTCATGTACCAAACGTAATTTCATAATCAGACCTTCTCATGCAAACGTAGAATGTTATAGCATATAAGGTAAACCAATTATTGAAAATAAGATTTTATTCTATTCTTCATATTAAATGTGTGTATAAATCAGTCTGGTGGGAGCCTTGTGACTGCACAGTCTGTGTATGTGTGTGTTATTTCATGCGTGGTAGTGCAGCGGTTAGCGTGCTGCAATATGAACCCACTAACCCGGGTTCGATTCCTGCCCGCAGTCAACACCATTGGCGATTATTTGAACCGCTCCTGGGCCTCCCCTAAATTGAGTTGACTTAGCCTCAAATGAGTACCTGGCATAATGTGTAAACATCGCAACTTGGGAGACAAAGGCTGGTGCTGACCACCCAGCTCCTCGTACTCCGTAGCGCCGGCCTTTATAGGTGCTTGCAAACAGCACTTGCTCTTACAGTCTGTTAAGGCTATACAGGAGATATTTGCCTTTGTATTTCATATGCACACCAGGCATGTATGGCAATACTGAACACTTGTGTGCTGTAACCTGGAGTGGATTATTTCAAAATGATGACAGTATTTCAATTTCAAATCTGAGCTTTCATTGTGGCAGAGAAAAACACATTCTTAGCAGTAAATAACAAAAAAAAGTGAAAGGATTCCATTTGATTATAAAAAAACGAATTTCCATTTAGTCCAGTCCTTGATATATTTCCTGAAAATGTTAATCTGAAGCGCTCTTGTCCCAGTTACATTTGAAAGCCAGTTTAAACTGCCTATCACACGAACATGACTCCTTCATGAAGGGTATCGTGCTGGTCAATTCTAACAAAAGAGCATTTTCAAGTGAGAGTGATGAAGTTAAAACTGGCAAACAGCTCTGATCGAAAGAGGACTAGAATAGCAGCTATGAGGAAGAAGGGATATTCTCAAGGGGTCAATCAAAGGTAAGGTGAAGCAATTACATCTTCAGATGAACTAATTGCTTCAAGCTTTACCTTGAGTTTATCAGTCTCAGACTGCACACATTCGTATATGTAACGCAGAATAACCTTAAGCATCGCTGTGGGCAATATATGTAAGAATAAATAAGCAGACAATATGCCTTATTCATATATATGGCCCTCCACGTGAAAGTCCAATACTTTTTACACAAACCCATCAACCACATCACCTTCTGGGAGTGCATCATTTCAATAATCTCAGCTATATTGGTTCAAGCAATCTAGAGTCTGCTGATGAGATACTATGTTAAAGCCAGCCCAGTGTTTGATTGTTTTGAACCACTGTTGAAATTATGCACTCATGTGGAGAGACAGATATTGCGAAGGAGCCGCATTGTCAGGCTTATTTATTTTGTTACACACATTGGAAATTATTGGTACAGTATAAGTGGAAACCTGAGTCACTGGCTTCAAGGTAGCATCCCCAACCAGATGGTGCTTATATTCAACACATCACTGCTAGGGAGCCCAGCGATGGTGCACATTACATTTTGCCTCCACATTCCACACATCAGTTAAACCACCTGTGGGTTGCACCTAGGCTCTTTGGTTATTTCCGTAAAGAACCAAAGAGTATGGATCCTTGCAGTCACGAAAACTTCAAATCTAGAATGCACCTAGGCTTTTAAATTTAATACAACATGAACGAATGTATTGTATTTCAAAGTCATAAATACGCGTTTGGGACGATGGCGTCAATGTCTCGCAAGATGTTTAAAGAGACAAGTCAAAACAATGCTGAGAAGAACCAACTGAAATATTAACTGTCCATATGAAAGTACTGTATTTATGTTGAACTTCTTTTGCACCGTACGTAGCCAACCGTGCTAATCGGAGGTGTGGGGGAAGGACAACAAACTAAACACAAAAAGCAGCTCTCAAGAAATGAGTTTTCGATCTCGATTTAAAAGTGTATAGCTCCAGCGGATTCCTAATATCGGAATGAAGAGCATTCCAAACGGCCGCAGAAGTGCATCTGAAAGCGCGCGATGCGGGTGACAACCCTAGTTTCAGCTGAAACTGTTGGTTACATTTATAGCCAGGGCTGGGGCGTGCTTGGGTGGGCACTGCCCAACCAAATGTCCATTTGACCCAGCCTAGGTCACTCTCCTTAGCGGTATATCACTGCTATGTTGGCCCACTCTGTCGCTCTACTGGTCCACCCCATCCGAGGGGAGCGCGAACCAGGTCTCCATGAAGCTACTGGCAACTGAGGCAATCACCACCACCGGGGACAAAATGGAGAACGATCGTACGTGACCAGAAGTTGATGGCGCCAAAATAAGAAGAACATCAATCAGCGGCCGTCAGGGAAGAGGCGAAGGGAAAGATGCCGTACCTGCTCATGGGCCAGTCTGTGAGGCCCTCCATCAGGCCGGCCGTGAGTATTAGCACACGGCAGGAAGCGGTTCCGATGGCGGATGAGTCGCCACGTGACAGCGGCTTGCCGTCGAGCGATATTTTGCGGCAGCGAAGGCATGTTTGTTTCGCTTTTAATAACTGGACCATGTAGTCGCCCCACTCGTATCCATTCTCGTCAAACAGGATGACCACGGGATAGCTGCCTGTCCCTGTCAGCACGGAGACAGAAAAGAGAGACACTTCCTGTAACACACAGATAAGCAGGATTTTTTGGTGAATGCTTGAAGCAAAAATAGTGTTTCCTTGGAGCTGCTCGGTGGACTGATATCCGCAACTGAATATGTACGGTACTAGTTACATCTCTCTTTTTTTTGCCCTACAGCAATGCATAACCAGGTGATGTAACAATGTGTTTTGCAAATGTCGTTTACAGGGGCTGTTCGACCATACTTCACCACACAGGTCAGTTTGGGTTGGTAAAGAGCAGGGTCAGAACCAGCTCTATGTCTCGCATTGGATGTTAGCCATGGCCAGGAATTGAACTCAGGTACCTGGTTCATAACACGAGTCTGCACAATGCCACGCCACCAGTCCTTTAGAACAGTGATTCAACTCTTTGCTTTGTACCCCCCCCCCCCTCCCCATTACGAATCTGGATAAAACGATATATTATAGGCAATGTGTGTTTACGATTACTGCACCGTTTGATATTTCACAATTTACCAAAAGAACGTGTTTACTTTTTACGTGTCGTTTACCCCCCACGACGATAGCGACACGTCCCCAAGGACACCTCGCGGGCCCCCCCCCCCCACACGTGGCACACGCCATGTGGACCCCAGGGGCTATGCGAGACAAATCACGACGTGGCGTGGGGTAGGCTCACGCAGTGCTACGTTAAATTGCGAAATATTTAGTAAACCGTCATTACATTATAGTGTTAGACAAATGTCTTACGTGTTCAATACGTGGAATTAAAATGTACGTTTTTCACGAACGATTCAAAGGACATGTTGGTAGGGGTACGTGGACAGTTAGGACTGGTTGTGTTCTAAAGGATTTGATTGATTCATTAATGGCTGTTGCACCCCCAAATTGACAGGCCATCTTCACACTACTGTTTTTGAGATAGAGTGATCTGCCATGGGCTGTCAATTTTCATTCTGGAGATTTCCACAGCAGACATATGTTGGTGTACATCAACGTATCACTTCTTCAATTACCTATATGAATCATACCTGAGAAGAAGAGCATCATACATCAATGACATATGGATAGTAAAATGGAAGTCTAGAGGTTGTACAAAAAAGTATATATATACACACCCCATGGGAAGTTGGAGTCAAAAATGCTTCCTTCTTAAAATACAGTGCAGTATTTCCTCTATCTGCAAAAATAAGTTGCCACCAAATGAAGAGTTCCTCTTGCTAATATTTTATTATCAGTACACAAACACCATGTGTTAAACGCTCCAATAATGTAATGCTGTGATCCATATCACAAATATACGTTACAATGTTTTAAAAAAATGCTTAAGATTCCTGAGATAAACACAAATATGCATTTCACTTCAAATTTAGTCAAGGACAGCATTATGGTCAAAAAGGACAGTTTCATATTTTCCAACATTTTGTGCCTCACATTACATTTTAATTCCCGTTATATTCAATTAAATAACATTTGTAACATATTCTTAGCTCTTTCGGTAAAGTCACGTTGAAGGGAAACAATAAAATAATAAAATATATATATAAAACAATATTGTTGATTCATTAATGGCTGTTATTGTTTCCCTTCAACGTGACTTTACCGAAAGAGCTAAGAATATGAATTACTGCAGTCACGAAAGATTTAAATCAAAATTTAACATTTGTAACAGTTGCACATTCCTACAGGCATGCTGTATCCCACAAATGTGCCAGCAGTGTGTCAATTAAATAAAACGGAATGTCCTGTAAAAGCTTTGTTTTCATTAAGAATCTGCTGGAATAAAAAAAATCACTGAGTATTCTATTGACAATAAAACATCCCATCATGTTGGTTGCCTAGCAACAATGTGGGCAATGGATGGACACATGCAGATCAGCACAGCGAGTTAAAACTCCAACAAAGGAAGCAAAATTACAGCAGTACAACATATATACTGCCTGCTCTGAGATTTTGTTTAGAAGCATGGTCATTATTGACAAAAAATGGAATGCTAAATGCAAATTGCCCAAAGAAGCATGGAGAGATTCATTCTTGGAATGCAATTGACAAACAAGAAAGAGTAACGTGTACTGTATTAGAGAATATACAGTGAGGGGAAAAAAGTATTTGATCCCCTGCTGATTTTGTACGTTTGCCCACTGACAAAGAAATTACCAGTCTATAATTTTAATGGTAGGTTTATTTGAACAGTGAGAGACAGAATAACAACAACAAAAATCCAGAAAAACGCATGTCAAAAATGTTATACATTGATTTGCATTTTAATGATGGAAATAAGTATTTGACCCCCTCTCAATAAGAAAGATTTCTGGCTCCCAGGTGTCTTTTATACAGGTAACAAGCTGAGATTAGGAGCACTCCATTTAAGAGTGTGATCCTAATCTAAGCTCGTTACCTGTATAAAAGACACCTATCCACAGAAGCAATCAATCAATCAGATGGCTATTATTCCCCACAAACTTTGCTTTTGTGACAAGGACTTTACGTGAAGGAATGACACAAATGCACACCACGTTTTCTCATTGAAAATAGGTCAATTTCAAAATCACTGTTCTGGACACATGCAAAGTTTGTGGGAAATAATAGCTATTTTCTGTACTTTTGAGGCATAAGCAATTAGAAAATAACACTTACTACCCAGGAACAAACAAAAAAAACCTATGTTTTTGTTACACAGTGTAATGGAATGGCAATGGCCATGTGGACATTGGAATATCCATTCGGTGCAACAGCACACACAAATCAATGCTCAAAAGAGCGTGGAGCCAGTCAACTTTTTTGTTAAGTGTAGCTAGTGGCATTTTCTAGGCTGTCTTGTTATTGCCACCAGTATCGGTGTTGCGTTATGAGTGGGCGAGATTTGAGCCTTCAAAAAACCCTTACGACCTACCACCCCAAAGGTGAAAAATGTGGCAACTCAACCTCCAAAACAGATCAATACAAACGATGTGTAAGCGATGTACATTGTACTGCAGCGTAAAGGGGATAAAAAAAAACACCCCCATGGTTAACGAGCGTGTTTTGGAATGCTAAAACACCGAATTAATTGGCGCAAGCAAACTTAGTTGACACCTATCAATTATGGTTTCATTAAAAAAGGGCAGCACACTTAGCATCACCACATTGGCAAATGTTTCATTATACTTCGTACATCTGTACATTATACTGTGATATACATGGTTGCGTCTGATATTGATGTCGATGGACAATGTTGTCCGCTGCTGTATGCACCCGATCCGCATTGACGTTACATTATAAACTCTTCAGAGGGGAATTATTTTGTTGTTGTAACGTTTCATACAATTACGTGCGAGTATTGGTAACACACACGTCACAGAGTATATCACTTTAAAGATACGTTATTAACGAGTTCGGTTGAAATGCATTTGAGCGTTCTTAGTTCGTACCTTCGCTATTACTGTGGACAGAAGCATCAGTAGGTGACGTGTCCGTTTCAATACTTTTATTTTAACCTACAAGACCTCGGTGATTCATGCGAACGCCTGTCCGCTATTTACACAAAATGTCAATACCGAACCATACTCTTAATTAAATTCAAAGGCACCCCTCCCCTCCCTCCCCTCTCTACTTTCAATAATTAAAACATTCCATTTACAAAGTCGCACACTCGATAAGATTGCAACGGTACCTTCCATTCTCGCATTCGTCTGGTTGTTCCTGGTTCTTGTTGGCTCTTACAGTAGTTATTTTCTCAGTCTCCCCCGCCTTAATCTCTTGAAGTAGTAAAAACAAACACCACGGCGCTTGTATCTATGTACTCTGTAACCGTGAGCTTAATTGTGTCATTAAGCGCAAACGTCGGGAAATTCCCCGCTCACGAACAGTTGGTTGGCAAGTTTTTTTTTAGCCAAGTGCACTGGTGGAATGCCAACTTCCTGGTTTTGGTCACATTTAAATGTAAAGTATAGGCCAGGAAAACGTGCAAACAAAATAAAAAAATCACTGCTACTGTTTGCGGGGAAAAAAAACTCACGATCAATTTTTTTTACTAAAACGAAAAAAGAATCCAACTCTATAATAAATAAAAAAAATCCTAATATCTAACACTGTAGTTCACGTTAAAATATAACCACGTTCATAATTTTCTTTAAACAAAAAGTCAAAGTGGCCACTGGCAAACCACGTGTACTAAATCTGTGCAAGCGTGTACTCTTAAGCGGGGGTGTGGGGTGGGGGGCCCCGGGGTGGTGGTGGTGGGGGGGCGGCAGTCCCCCGTGTACTGCTTCGTTACACAACACGTGCGCGCACCCAACGTGTGCACACCGCGCTGGCCCCTGCCGGCACGTGGGGGGCACGGCCAGCGCGCCGCCCGCTCCTTGACACCGCGGGGCGCCGGACTCGCACCGCGGACAAGCTCCTCCTCCCCCTCCTTCTTCTTTAACAACTGCGAACACCCCTCGCGAAACTCGCGCCACATGGTAGGTGCCGACAGGGCAGGCAACCGCACCGAACCCCATTCGCCAAGCCCCGCCCTCTTCCACCCGCCAGGCCCCGCCCACCGGTGCTCACAATTGCCCCCCCCCCCTCCCACCAGCTGCAAAGAGGGAGGTGGTCGCGTCTTTTTTGAGTTTTCATTTCATTTATTTGGTATAGCGCTGTGAGCCATTCGGCTCTTGAATCGGGTGCAACCGCAACAAACAAAAACACGAACAAGAAAACATATTGAAGTGACCACGCGCAAACAGAACAATCCAGGAAAAAAACAGCAAAGTCTTCCAGAAAAAGCACCGTATATCAATGTGGAAGGGGTTATGGGGAATTGATGGCTGGCATGGATGAAATCTGTAAATCAAAGCTGTGAACGACATGACAAACCCATCATATACAGCACTATATGAGTGCAAAATAGTGTGCGAGTGGGGGAGATGCTAACGCCCTCGTCTGGTATGCAGGAGGCCGTGGGTTATATTTCCAGAAAATGTAATAATTATGCTGGAGGAATGCGATGAGCTTTGAAGCTCTTTTGCGTGACCCGACCTTGACGCCTGTATAGTTGGGAGTTTGCATGTTCTCCCCGTGGTCGCGTGGATTTGTTCTCCTTGTTCTCCGCTTTTTTTTCGCTCCACATTTAGAATCAACGTGCGTTTGGAGTATTTGGCTGCTAGAAATGTCCACGCGATAAGCCACTTAGTTGAGCTGTCATTTATGGCCAGCTCGCTTCTGAAAAAGATCTGTATAGCTCAGAGGGCCTTACCTGGTAAAACAAAAACAAAAATAATTTAGTTTACATACATGTATGATGTGCAGGGGCAAACGTTGCAGCAGTGACCATTCAATGGTCACTATACAAAAATGTGATGATATCTGCATTGGCAAGTGGTGTACAAGCATAATTAACAAAACATTTTCAGAATAGTTTGCCTATGAAATGTGTGTAAATGTTTGAGGCAGTGTTATTGGAGACGACGCTTTACTGATGAGTCCCAATAAGGACGAACGCGGTCAACAGTTGTCTGTCTCTATCACTGCAGCTGCCGTCAGTCGGTAACACATTTGCTCAAACGCCACTGTAACGGTGACCCAAGACGAGAGATGATGATGATGGTGATGATGATGCACTTAGGGAACTGCTAACGGTTGTTTGCCATAATGCACAACGGTCGAGTGGGGAGCGGTGGCGTTGCGGTTAGCGCCACGCTGCGCTACGAACCTGACGACCCGGGTTCGACTCCCGCTCACGGCCAGCACCCAGTGACGATTATCTGAACCGGTACCTGGCCCTCCCCTAGGTTGACTCGGCCTCAAATGAGTACCTGGTGCGATGGGTAAACATCGCCACTTGCGTGGTGTTGACCACACACCCCGTCGTGCGCGCTGACAGCACTTGCCCCCTACGGTATGCTAAGGCTATACGGGGGATCTTTGTCTTTTTTTGTTTGAAACGTACGGAGCGTGGGGGCAGGGGGGGGGGCCCGTGGCTCCGCCTGGTGGCCAAAGCTACGAGTTGCCCCCCCCCACCACCCTTGACAACCACCGTACAACGAAGCTGCAGTTGTATGCATTTTGCGAAGATAGAGCCGCTCCTACAGCGCTAACTGTTCGAGACCGTGAGCGTAACGATGGGACGCGACATATATATAATAGCCTAAGGATGTGACCGTGCGAGACGGATAAAATATTAGGGGGCAGAACCTGGCCGATTATTACCGCACCCCCTGAGCTGATAATGTAGTTTTCTACACCACTGGGCTTGGGTCAATGTCTCAATAAAAATCAGCGTGATTTCAAGCTCGTCATCGCATCGGGGCGTACTGCATCTCACCTGGTGGCCCTGACTCAGGGGGAGGAAATTCAATATTCACATGGTAGGTGCGAGACCGTCCACATCACTTATTTTAGCGAGACTGCGTTGGCATTTTTGCACGAGGACAAACAGCGAACGTTGCAACACACGTGTCAAAAGGACTGCCCTAAAAGTAAGATATGTAATAGGCGACGCTTCGGGAAATGAAATCACCAGTTGCAGCGAGATGGCAACTGGTGATCTCCCAGTGCTTAACCTTTGCCACATGAAGTAGCACTTGTGCAGTGTATTTAGATGGCGTTACATTTAGACGCTTTAGAAATTCCGGATATTATTATACTGAGTGCCGCCTTCACGTCTTGGTAGCACGTGCACCGGACAAGCCGCTTCTTGAAGGGTGTCCAACTGTGGTTTGTGACTCTCAGAGTTTGTGTGTGGCCGTCAACAGCCCCCCCCCATCACCACCACCCTATCCCACCACCACCCCCTATCCCCCCCACCACCCCCTATCCCTCCCAACACCACCCCCTATCCCCCCCACCACCCCCTATCCCCCCCCCATCACCACCCCCCCTATCCCCCCCACCACCCCCTATCCCCCCCCACCACCCCCCTATCCCTCCCATCACCACCCCCCTATCCCACCCACCACCCCATATCCCCCCCCACCACCCCCCTATCCCCCCCCCCATCACCACCCCTATCCCCCCCCACCACGCCCCTATCCCCCCCATCACCACCCCCCTATCCCCCCCACCACCCCCTATCCCCCCCCACCACCCCCCTATCCCTCCCAACACCACCCCCTATCTCCCCCCCACCACCCCCTATCCCCCCCCACCACGCCCCTATCCCCCCCCACCACGCCCCTATCCCCCCCCCACCACGCCCCTATCCCCCCCCACCACGCCCCTATCCCCCCCCCCCCACCACGCCCCTATCCCCCCCACCACGCCCCTATCCCCCCCCACCACGCCCTTATCCCCCCCACCACGCCCCTATCCCCCCCCACCACGCCCCTATCCCCCCCCCACCACGCCCCTATCCCCCCCCCCCACCACGCCCCTATCCCCCCCCACCACACCCCTATCCCCCCACCACCCCTATCTCCCCCAACACCACCCCCCTGTCCCCCCCACCACCCCCCTATCCCCCCCACCCTTATCCCACCCACCACCCCCTATCCCTCCCCACTACCCCCCTATCCCCCCCCACCGCCCCCTATCTATACCCCCCCGCGCCGCGTGTCGCAGTGGTACATCCCGCCGGCGCGTGACGTCACCGCGCGGCCGCGCACTGTGGTCGTCGCGTCGCCATTTTGAATTGGCGAGGCGGCGGCGGCGGCGTCGCGTTCGGAGAGCGGGGCGAAGCGGAGAGAATTTTTAAAGCGCAGCGCGCAACTCCCCCCCCCCCCCTACATCATGTCCACCAAGGACGGCGGCAAGCTGTCCCCCACCGACCGGGTGGTGAAATGTGAGTGGCGGCGGCGGCGGTGGCGCCGTTATCATCATCGTCGTCGCGCTTTGGCGTCCGCGGGTTTTTTTATATCTTCGCCTTTTTCGCCGCGGCGGTCCGCCTCGGGTGAAAATCGTAGCGCGCACTGGGGCGACGCGAGCCGTCTCGTCGCGCGCGATTGGCCGCGGGCGCCCGCGTGGCCGCCGCCCTCGGCCAATGGCGAGCGCCAACACGGAGCGAGGCGCCTATGCGCTGCGCGGAATGTGGTCGGCGTCCCCGAGCCCTCAGGGCGGACGGAGCGGTGCCCGCCGTTGTTTGTGGACCGCGCGGTGTTTGTGGACCGCGCGGTGTTTGCTCGCCGCCACCACCACCACTCGCTCGCCTTCGCGTTTTGTTGCCGTTATTGCGTCGAGGTCCTTCACTCTCATTTGCTGCTCGGCGTTTCGCCGGATTGCCGTCCTTGGGTTTTCGTTTGCGCGTATCGGACAACAACAAAACGCCGAGATGATGATGTTGATGATGGTCGCGGTGATGTGCGCCTTTTGCGGGTGCATTTTTTTGTTTGTGGTGGAAAGAAAGGGGAGCTGTGATATCCCGTCAGCCCGGCTTTGAATTAGGATCCACGGATAGGCGTCAGTCGATGTGAGCAGAAAGACGTATTTAGACTCGTCTAGGTCGACTTGGCTGTAAATGAGTAAGTACCTCGAGTGGGATATAAAACGTCAAACACTTGGGCGTACAAATGCAGCCGGGCCGTGTGTGTGCGTGTGTGTTGCTGATCGCACCGTCGCTCTTGGTGTACAATGCTGCCCTTTAATTAATAATCGCTCGCCCAGTAGCATTTGCCCCCTACAGTCTTTCGGGCCGACTGTTGGAATCGTGCGTGTGTCTGTATGTGCGCAGCCCTCCTCGCCTGTCATTGTTGGTGTTGTGTTGCGGCACTCGGCCGCCTACGCCGTGTCCCCCGTCCCCCCCTTAATCCGTTTGCAGCCCGGAGCCTGGGGACAGCACGCGTGTCCCGCCCACGCCCGGCACACTCTTGTGTCTCTCGCTCGCTACAGACGGCGTGTGTGTGTGTGCCTTGTGCAGCGAGGGTTAGCGGTGCCGCATACCGTGTATATAACGCCTGTCCGGTCACCCCCGTCAGGGTCAACAACAACATAAACGCGTATGCGATACTGTATATTTAAATAAAACGTACAGAGGGAAATGTTGCTAACACCATCTTTCATCCCCGGTTATCCGTAACGCGTGGTTATGCGCGAGCCTGCCGTGGTCGCTGCCAGTCGCCATCCTCAGAGCCCACCACCACTTGTCACCCACCCAACCAACCCATTCTGGTCACCATGCTCGTAACATTCATCCACCCACCACCATTCACGGATCACAATCACCATTCTGGCCTCCCATTAGGATCACAAAATAAAAAAAACACAGTCACCAGCTCGTCACTCACCAAATACATAATCGATATTTGCCATTGACAACCAACAGTCTTAACCACCTCCTGGCACCTATCGCCTCCATACGCACACACTGCACTTAGAGCTCAACTCGGGCAGATAACCCTTCATTACCACAAGCATGAATCATATTAACTTTCAGTATACCCACCCCCTTCATTCACTGATTACCAACGCCCACACATCCTGATCACCCATCATGTCCACCCACTCTCCTTGGTTGTCAGTTGCAATCTCAGCCACACACCCACTGAGGTCTTCTACCACCATCACACATTCCCTTCTACCTCTACAGCTCTTGATAATAAACGTGGTTATGCGTCCGTTATACAGTCAGGTGGTTGAATTGTGCATGTATATCTTCCTAGTCACCTCGGGGTACCGCTTACGAAACAACGAACCAACATTCTGTTAAGTACAGGAAAATGCTACATGGAATAAAATGGACTGGCATGAACATAGCTAACAGAAGGACCTCTAGTTATGATCTCGGACAGAAAAGAAGAGCAAGGTAAAGAAAAGGTGGAGAAAATGAAGAATATGACGAGATGAAAAATGGGCAGGAAAAGAGAAGGGTTGATGGAAAGTACAGGAAGGAATTAGCAAGTCCTACAACAGAGCCCCAAGATGTTCAAGTTTGGATAGCACATGCATCAGATTCAGCCAGTGCTCAAAAGCAAGTACTGTACTTAATGAGTATTCCATTGCTTCAATTGCAGTAGTCTTAAGGTCACTGAAGAGAATTCTCAGTTGAGTACCATGTGAGACTGAGATCGATGTCTATCCATACAAACGTATGGATAGACGAGAACACATGTTACTAACAAGTAATTTAGAAATTGGTTAATGTCCTCATACAAAGTGTAATTGTTTAGGCATGACCCCAAATGGCATGAAATAACTTCTGAGTAGTTGGGTTCGATAAAGGCAATAATAAGGGCCAGCACCCTTGTTCACTTATGCCTTGTACGTCACTGGTTGTCCAGTGTTGGCCACCGAGCCTGTGGATTGCAATGTCCCCTTAAACCTATGATGTCCTCTCCTCTACTTCTCTTCACACGTCACTCAAGATCCGTGCGTTATTTGACTCGAGCTTTATCGGAAATGCCACGATCAGCCTTATCCCTTCATGGGGGATTAGAGATTTGCATTGGTAATTGCAGTGTTCTGCCTGGATTTTCATCAAGTACCCACTATGGTGAGATGAGGGTAGTAACATCGTGATAGTGGTGGTGTACAAGGTGGTGCTGCTGATGTATTTCGAGTCGTCAGTTTTAATGACCATCAGTGAGGTCCTAATTATATCACGGCCTCTTAGATCAACCATTGTTTGGTCCCCTTTCAGCCTGATATGGAGATTTGCATAGTCGGTAATAATGACTGAAGCTGATGCAAATGTAGAAAACCCACTTGTAATACATGGTACTGTGTGTCTCCAAGATGTGCGCATGTCTTTGGTGTTTATCCATTGCTATTTATTTCAGCTCCGTTCATTTCATCTTATAATGTGTGTACACCGCCACTGACACAGTACTGCAAACAAGACATGTCATGTGAGATTTCCATTCAATAAACACATTTTACGACTTGGGCAGCTGCATTGAATTAATTGCCTCTCGCATTTCCCAGTCTTCTAAAAGGCCATTTGTTGTGTGTGGTATTATAGTAGAGGTGAATTGCATCATTTATTAGTGGCACCTTTTAATAAAGTTTTTTAAAAATATAACTAGTCATTAATCTTAGCAACAACTGTGCCATTTTTGAAGTGATGCTGCCTCTTCATATAAATGGTGACGATTTTGCATGTCCTCTATGAAAATAGTGTCAATACCTATAACTTCAAATTGATCTTTGGGCCCATTTGGCAAAACTATGAGTTGTTTTATAAAGAAACTCAACATTTTTAGAAGTCACATTGAGTTGGCATACATGATTACAGTTTAGTTGTGCTTTGTTTATCAATTGTGTTGCGTCATAATGTTTTTACTTGAATTAAAATAAGCACTATTACTGAATACTTTTCCATTTACTTAATCATAAAGTGAAAGTGCCTACAGCTTTTGGTGATTAACTGAAACATTCAAAATTTGTATATTTAATTAAAGCAGTTAGACTTTGCTAAATAGACTAGCCTAGTTATTAACCATTCCATTTCGTGTCCCCCAAGTTTAGTTCAGTCAGCTGTGACATGTTTATGAGTATTTTGATACCATGCTAGGTTTTCATTTTATTTATTGGATATCTTTTACCGCTGTGAAATACAATATGTTCTATGGCATTTATTTACACAGCAATATTTTACTGTTTAAAAGCATCATGTAATGTTTTTCACCCCTGGTATAATCCAGTTTTTGCATTACTCTGGAATGTGTATTCATTTAACAAAAAGCAAATTAAACCTCTAACACTTGATGCTTGCTCATGCATATATGGAAAGTACAATGAAATATTTTGAAAGGTGGTATACAGGATTTTGGAAACATTCACCATTGTGTATTTTACCTATTTCTTTAGCTGTGACTTTCAAAGTATTTGTAAATATGGCTGAATCGAATGTCTCTGAAACATTATTGCTATATCCCACATATTATTTTTTTGAGACTGGTATATGCAAGCAAATTACTTGGAATTGTAGTTTTGGCCTAGGTTTGCATTCTAAATTTGTTGTCAAAATGATGAGTTAAAAGTTAAAATGGTTCAAAGTAGGATGGTTGAGTAACATTTTAATAATCTGCATATAATAAGTAATGTCTATAGCTTACCGAGTTAAACGTGTATTTTTTACTTTGTTATTTATTTCCACGTTAAATATTAATAAGTTGTCAGGTTTTGTACTGCATTTGCTTTTGCACAATATGTAAATTAATCTGTACACTATTTTCATGACTTAATTGTAATCCTTCAAGCCGAAAATATGAACCCATTTATAAACAGCGATTGCAAAATGTCAATAAGCATAAGGTATTCCTAAATGTAAATGCAACATTAAAAGTTATTAAAGATTTAGTATCCTTTCCCATTCCTTCAACTTTAGAATTCATATTTTATGCTGGACATGCATTTAACATTTGCTCAGTATATCAGCGCTTTTGGTTATTTATGCTTAATGGATATATCACATGCGTGCCCAATTATTTCTAAAAACTTGTAATGGCCTTTGCTTACCAAATATTATGTAATTCAGGTGTGGATCAGTTTTCTAAAATTATCACCAATTCACCAATTATTTTTTATAACTTTCATTTTGACATCCATTTAATATTTTAAGCATGTCCCCCCAGTACAATGGATCAGTACACGGGCTTGCTAGGTTCGGTTGTCTTTCTTTGGTTATTTTGAGGAAGTGCTTGTGTTTTTAAAACATTAATTCTTGCTTAGGTTTTCTGAAGGGTATTGTTAAGTTCACCGTCCATGCTATTAGTTTTACCTGACAGTGTTGACCTGAGAATATCTAACAACAAATGGCAAGACATTGTTGAAACATTTCATGTGGAGTCTTGTGGTAAAACATTTCCCATATTATGTACATAATGCTCATGATGTGAGTATACATTACCACTAAATACTGGGCACAGTGTGTAAACCATGTAGCCTCCTGTATTCGGATTTCTCTTGATTAACTTGTTTTGGGCAGACTAAACCAGAATTCTGTATATATGATTGGTAAATCCTGTATTATACAAGGGTATTTCCAAACCAAATATGTCTAATAGGCAATGTTAAGATGCCACATCCTTCAGAAATGTTCTGTATGGATATTAGACAATTGAATAATTTAATATGATATTTGTATGCAGACTCCAGGGCAGTTATGTTTTCTCACTCCTAAAATATCAATATTAATAAACCTGAGACATTGATCATTGCAAATGGAACTACATCTCTCCAGTGTGCCACCTATAGCTTCTGTACCATATAGTTTTGGAATTAAATTCTGGAATTGAATTTCAGGTGACTTTATGCTTGCATACTGCAGGTGTCCTATTGCCATCGTCACAATTTGCTTGGAGACTTGCTTCCTGGGAGAGATGAATGCCTTGAAATGTAATAGTATGCCTTTTATGAATTAACTGTTTGAGAGCAGTGTTTGCAAAAATATTCTGAAATATGCATTTATGTGCTGATAAATTCTGTGTTTAAAATGGTATAAAGTTCTCCTCAGCACCTTATTCATTAAATTGTTCAGTTCCCTTTATTTGATTATGGCTGCATGTTTGGTTGATACTGGATT